AATTGGTGTCTGTGACTTACAAAAAAATAATAACAATAGCCATGCTACTAGTAATCAAGCCTGCCTAGCCTACGTCCTACCTGATGGTTCCTAGGTTCTGCAAAGTCCTAAGGTTCTAAGTCAGTCAGTCACACACACACACACACACACACACACACACACACACACACACACACATACACTATTCATATATTTATACATGACTATTATGCATAGTATTCCATATAGAGAATATAAAATTCATATATAAAATAATTCCATATACAGAACATTATGGAATATGTAAGGAATAATTTGATAATGGAATTCTGTAGTCTATCTTTGGAATATATGTTATATATGGAATCCTATATATGAAATATTACTCAGCCATAAAGAAAAAATAAAATTAGGTCATCTGCAGGAAAATGGATAGATGTGGAGATCACCATGTTGAGTGAGATCAAAACAAGCTGTCTTTGCTCATTTGTCGGGGTACATAGACCTAAACTTATGAGGGAGGAGGTAATAGTCACAGAAATGGGACATGAACAGAAAGCAGGGAGTGTCTAGAAGGAGATAGTAGGGGTGGGACAAAGAAGGGACACTGAGAGGTGAAGAGGCTTGAAGGAACAGATTACCAGTTTTTATCAGCCATCTGTAAGCAATCTGTTGCTAACAGCTGTCTGTCAATCAATGCAGCATCTTGAAACTCATCAAACTGGGAGAGGAAGGAGGGAGGAATAGGGAATATGGTGGTGGCTAGGGGTGAATCCACTCTAAGTGCACTGTGGCGCATTATGGAAATATTACAGTGGAAACCCCCATCTAGAACACATGGAGGTTAGCTAAAATAAAGGTTAGTACATACTCTAAGATATCTATCTCTATTGACAAAGCTGAGCGTTAGTGCTGCGGAAGCTCAGGACTATCATGACGGGTCCACCACGCCAGGGACTCTCCCAGACTCGGCCCCCCTCGGCCCTAGCTTCCTTCCTTCTGCTGCCTCAGGGCTCCACAATGGCCCAAGGACATGATCACTCATCACTGAGGGGCTTTCTCAAAGCGGTGCTCTCTGGAAGTTGCTTTATCCTCACAGACATGCCCACCCCCAAAGCAGACTCGGCCCTTTAAGCAAAAGGGCATAAGTCCTCCAATTATGGAATGGATAAACCAAACCAAAACAAACCACAGGCCAAGGTTTCTGAGGTGTACAAGACAAGATATTTGAGAGAGACAGAGAGACAGAGACAGAGAGCAGTTACAGCTTCCACGGCAGAGTACCACAGTACACTGTCACAATTCTATTGTATTATTTTGTACCTTTTTTTGTTAATATATATTTTGTTAATTTCTAAATTAAACTTCATCAGAGCGGTGGATGAGGAGGAGACAGTGCATATAACAGATCCCCAGGACTCATAGGGGCTACTGTGCAATTCTCCCCAGCGTTGGACTCTAAATGCAGAATCTTCCCATGAAACTGACCCATTCTTGACCACGTGATCCCTGTCCAAGCCAGTTTTGGGTGAGACGGGACTGGAAAATGACAACCCGAGCCCTTTTCCTGAGTGGGTGGGGGGCCGGTAGGCAGAAGGCAGGACACCCCAAGCCCCTCCAGCCTTGTGATGACCGCAGGAGCATCTCTGGAGGCCTTCTCTGAGGACAGGAAATGGAACGAGACCTAAGGAGAGCCATCTGCTGACATTCACGTGTTTATCGGAGTGTGTGGCACCGGCCTGAACGAATGCAGCTGTTTTCCTCAGCAGACACAAGCAAATAGCAGCAGACGTCCAAACAAAGCCAGGAGCCCCATGCAAACTCCAGCTGCAAAGCACAAACACCCTCCCTCCCCATCCCCCAGACAGACAGATGAATAGATGGACAAAGGGACAGTACTTAATGGTGGCCTCTGCTTCCCCGGGTCCAGCCTGGGGATGCACTTAAGTAGAAGTAGGAAGTCAAGAAAAAAGTCTTAGCCGCAAAAGACAACTGTTTAAACAAATCCCACTCAGGCAACCCCAGGCTCTTTCTCTTCTTCCTCTTCTTCCAGGCATGTCAGAAAGATCACTCTTTGCAAATATTTGAAGCCTGTTGAATATGGTAGCAACACATTACAGGAAGCAGTTAATTCATCTACCTACCACAGCTCTGTAAAAACACCTTTTGTAAAAATACCTTTTGTAAGAATGGAGCTCACTGAAAACACTTCTGCAAGAAGAATCTGGTTTTCGGTCTGCCCTCCACCTACCCACGGCCCCCCCACCCCATCTCCATCTCTGTGTGGGGAGGGGCAGGCCTATGCTGGGGCCGATCGATCACATCGGATTGGATTACAGGCCCACCAAATGTTAACCCAGGGATTTGAATTTGATCCACACAAGGCCTCGGTGTTGTTTTCCAGAGGTCAAAGCCGCTTCCTAGGACTGGACCATAGTAAAAAAATAAAACCCTCGATCTTGTCAGCAACAGGAATTTATTCTCTCACAATTCTAGGGGCCAGAAGCCAGAAAGCAGGTGCTAGCAGGGTGGTACGCCCTCAAAGTCTTTGCTGGCGATTCTGGGTGCTGCCTCTCATCTGCAATTCCCCTCCTCCCCACACGGCTGCCCAGCCCTAGTCTGTGTCTTCACACAGCACACTCTGAGCCTCCTTCCTCTCCTCCCATTTTCTTAGGACAGCAATCACAGCAGGCTAGGGCCCACCCTCCTCCCCCAATCTCTTCTTACTTTATTTTAGCACTATCTGAATTTGAACTCAGTGCCTTGTGTTCACTAGGCAAGTCGTCTACTAGTTGAACCTCATCTCCAGAATTTTCTATGTTTTCAGATAAGGTCTCACATTTGCCTAGCTGGTCTCCAACCACTATCCCCTTACCTATGTCTCCTTTGTAGCTGGGATTATGGATGTATACCACCAGGCGCAGCTCGCTGGTTGAGATGGAGTCGCTAGTTTTTTACCCAGGCTGGCCTTGAACTGTGATCTTCCTTCCTGATCTCTACTACCAAGAGCGGAGCTGGGATATCTTATCTGGTCTTGTTCTTTTTTTTTTTCCTCTCACATCTTCATTAGCTTTGCAAAGACTTATTTCCACAAGAAAGTCATAATTGCAAGTAGTGGAAGTTGAGAATTTAATGTTCTCTTTTTAGAGAACCTGAGTCAGCCCAAAGCATATTAGAGGAAAGTCTCCCTCACTACAACTGCAAGCTCCAAGCTGTGTACACCCACTTGCCTGCCTGAGAAAGAAGTCGGCAGAGCCAGACAGAAAGACAGGTCCTGCCAGACACCAGTGGCTCACACCTGTAATCCTAGCTACACAGGAGACTGGGATCTGGGGATCATGGTTTGAAGCCAGACTGAGAAGGAAAGTCTGTGAGACTCTTATCTCCAATTAACCAGCAGCAGAGCTGTAAAGCCAGAAGTAGAGCTGTGGCTCAAGTGGTAGAATGCTAGCTTGGAGCAAAAAACTGTGTCCAGGCCCTGAGTTCAAGCCCCAGGAAAGGTAAGAAAGAAAAGAAAGGAAAGAAGGAAGGGAGTGAGGGAGGGAGGGAGGGAGGGAGAGAGAGAGAGAGAGAAAGAATGAATGAAAGAAATGAAAGGAAGAGAGAAAGAAAGAAAAAAGAAAGAAAAGAAAGAAAGGAAGGAAGAAAGAAAGAAAGGAAGAAAGGAGGGAAGGAAGGAAAGAGGAGAGAAAAAGAGAAAGAACCAATGCTGGTATTTCCATGGATTGTAGCCAGATCATAATCCTGGCCACCTTCTGGGTTGCTTGGTATCTGGCCAACAAAATCCCTTTTTAAAACATGTATAGTTTAAGTTTCTATCACTTACAACCAAGATATTTGACATACCCAGCAGTAAACAGCATTGTATAATATAAATTCAAATAGCATTATAGAAAATAAATTCATATGCTGGGGGATTTATTAAAAAAAACAACAACCAAGAACAGCCAGGAGTTAATGGTCACACACACACACACACACACACACACACACACACACACACACACACACACACACACACACACAGTTTTATGTATGTGTATGCCATCCTGGGGCTTGAACTTGGGCTCTGTCCCTGAGCTCTTTTTGCTCAAGACTAGCACTCTATCACTTGAACCACAGCTCCATTTCCAGTTGTTGTTTTTTTCTGGTAGTTATTGGAGATAAGAGTCTCCTGAGCTTTCCTGCTGGGGTTGGCTTTAAATCCATGATTTGTGATTCTCAGATTGCACGCTCCTGAGTGGCCGCTGCCACTCAGCCATAAACTTACAATTGAACCATTCTCTCGACTTATACCCAATGCTTAAAATTTTCTGAGAGACTAACTGAGGTCAAATGTCAAATCAGTGAAACCCTCCCGGGTCTTCTGGTTAAAGTCAAGCACAAATGAGGGAGCAGAGCAAAGGTTCAGGATCATTTATAACTCGAACTGTGGAGGAAACTGTGGAGATCTCTGACGGTGGCAGTTGGGTAGCCAGGCACAGCTGACCAATCCTGAAGCCCTGGGTACCTGGCGAGTGCTCCCAGGGGAGTGCTCTTCTGAGCTAATCATAAATAAATCTTGTCCACAATGCTCAACAACACACAAGAATGCAGGTCAGACAAAATGACAGGGTCATTCCCCCCAAACATCCACCGGTGAGCGCTACCATGTGGCCGAAGGCTGTAGCTCCTGACCCCCAAAGTGCACATGGCCACCTCTGCTTATGATGGAGGCCAGCATGCTCCACCCCTGTTCACAACCTCCCCTCCAACCTCCTGTTCCAACCCAGCCAGCCTCCTTCTATGCCACAGCCCCCACCGATCTCTGATGCCTCATTGTTGGGGACTGGTCAGCTGTGATCTGAGCAATGCGACCCACCATGGGTGACCTCTTGAGGTCCGCTTTGCCCAAGAGTCAGACTTGCCCTTCTATGGATTCCCAGCAAGAACCAACTGGAATGCTACAACCAACCAGAACGCTACAGAGGAGTCAGGATCGACAGAAAGTATTTCCCCAGACAAAGCTGGGTCCCTCTTACCTTCTGCAAATGGCTCCCACTCGTAAAACCTGCCCATGAATGGCTTGTTGTTGTAGGATGCGCACTGCACCTCCCGGATGCTACGGCTGTTCGCGGGACATTCCTAAGGTAGAGGCAAAAGACGCAGTTAGTGCCCCACCCCTACAACTCCGATGACACCTCATCCCCCCCCATATCTGATCCAGCCTTTCTCTGCCTAAACCACAGCTTTTGAACACTCACCATTGGATTGTTAACTTGTTATTAACTTAAATTATTATTATCACTGAATTAGTATCAAGCTCCCAGGTTAGCTTTTGTACATTACAATTCTTTTTGATGCCAGTATTAGGGGCTTGAACTCAGGGCCTGGGCACTGTCCTTTAGCTTTATGGCTCAAGGTTGACACGCTAGCATGTAAGCCACAGCTCCACTTCCAGATTTTTGCTGGTTCATTGGAGATGAGAGTCTCAAGGACTTTTCTGGTAAGGCTGACTTGGAACCATGATCCTCGGATCTCAGTCTCTCAATTAGCTACAGGCCAGTGTCTGGCCTTCAGACTGTAATCTGAAATCCGCCGGTCCAAGCACTGGGAGCACTGGGAACAGGCATTGGTTCCCAGTTGGCTCGCCTCTGTGCAGGCCCTTCCTTCCCCCAGCATAGAATCATATCCATCGTCCATTGAAAACACACATCCACCATACACTTCATCCTTCTGGCCACCAGCAAGGTAAATATTACATTTGGAGGGAGGAGTCTCTAGGCCTGTGAGTTAATCCAAGCAATCCTCTGCCACTGTCTTCCCATCTTTTCTAAACTCCACTCTACATTCTAGCCATCCTTGCAAGCAGAGGCTCTGGCCCCGAGCCTGCAAAGACTTTACTGGACACGCAAACTCTGGCTCTCTCCCTGCAAAGATTCTGTCCCATGAACCTGGGATGGGATCTAGAAATCTGTGTTTTATCGAGATCACCCAGGAGACCATTCAAAGAAAACACGTAGCTCCTCCTTTCCAGCTTCTAATTGATACATGATAAATGGGGCAGAGTGAGACATTGAAAGAAGTGTGAAAAAATAAAGATCAGGGTCTGGAGATCACCACGTGGCTATAGAACACTCTGTCTTTGTAATCCACCACCCCAACCAGTTCGGATTGGGGGGACGGGGGTCTCGTTAAAGGAAGGGAAGTAGGCCTGTCAAACATGAAAAGGTACTTCCTCCACTGATCTTATAAAAGGACATTTATCTAAAGGATCTCCAGGAAATGGAAACAAGAGGTTTTTAAATTTTTTCTTTGTAGTGGTTTTAAGTTTTCTCTTCTTTTTGTCTTGTTTGTTCGTTCATCTGTCTTTGGGATGGGAGGCACAGAAATGAGGGACAAAGGGTGAACAAATGGAAAATGAACTCTACATCATGGGTGGGGAATGGGAGAAGAAAAAAAACAGGGAGAGCAAGGGAAAGGGGTGACATTATCCACAAAGAAATGTACTCATTACCCGACTATTGCCCCCTGTACATCACCTTTACAGTAACAATTTTTCTAATTTAATTTTTAAAAAGTACCTCATCTAAGACTCTCTCACTGGAAGCAAAGAGCAAGCAGAAAGGTCTGCCTAAAAGTTAATTTAAAAAAATTAAACAAACACCAACGCCACATGAATGCCAAAAGCCCTCTTCCCCTTCCTCTCTTTTCATGGTCTCTTTGCTTCTGAAAACTAAGGGATGTGGCGGTCAACGGGAGAATGTGTTCCATATCACGTAAGAATCCATTCCCTTATAACAGTGAACATGAGAACGAGGACCATGCCCGATCACTCACGCAGCGAATGGCTGACTTTCCCCGTGTGCCAAGCACTTTCCTGAAGATCCTTCCACCAGATCCTGAGAACAACTCCGTGAACAATGTCTTCCAGGGGACCTCGCATGTTACAGGAGGAGTACTCACTCAAGACTTTGGGTTGACTGATTAGTCATGGTTCAAAGAAATAAAGACTGCTTTGTACAAATGAATAATCCCTCAAGTTGGCCTGTGGAAGAACAAGCTTAAAGCAATCAGGCCATTTAGAGGAATTATTAAGATCACAAATTAAGTCATTCCTATGGACTCCATAACAGGAAATATATTTTTAATGAGGAAATTGAAGCTAATCTGTAACAGCTGTCCTATTACCCGGGAATGGAATATTAAAGCAGATTAAATTATTATTAATGAAAAGTGTAGCGACTCAGAAATGTAACCCGGGAACCTACTCTCGCTCTTTCTCCTTTGTACACGGTCACTAGCTGTGGAACCTTTGGTGAGTTACCGAAATTCTCTCTCTGTAACTACGAAATAGAGAGAGCCATGATCTTACAAGGCTATGCAGGGTAAGAAAAGTGGCCAAGGGCAATACTGGGCTTCTTGTAGGTTTTTAATACAAGTTCCATGCTATTGAAATGCATGAAGACTGGATTAACCAATACTGACGGAAATAAAATCCTACCTGCACGATTATAGCTGTACAGATGTTTTAATTATTGATGTATTTCCATACCAGTTGGTGAGTGCATCCAGCAAGAGGGCTCCAACCAAATGTCACCTAGCACCTGTGCCCACTCTTCCCCTAAGATGAGGACATCATTCAGACTTCACTATTAGGTGTTTTCTTTGGCACTACTGCTTGGTCAAACTGCACTGGACCCACAGACCCATGAACACAGATATATATATATTGCCAGTACTGGGGCTTGAAGTCAGGATCTCACACTCCTGCTTAGATTTTCCCCTTGAGGCTGGTGCTCTATGGCTTGAGCCACATCCTCCACTTCCAACTCTTTGCTGGTTAATTGGAGATAAGGGTCTCACAGACTTTCTTGTTGGGGCTGGCTTCAAGCTGCAATCCTCAGACCTCAGCCTCCTGAGTAGCTGAGCCACCAGGGCCCAGCTAAAAATATTCTTGATAGAAGCCATGCAGAACTTGGAGGTTGTTTGTTACACAGCCATAGCTAACCGATACGCCATTCAGTGCTTATCAAGTGAGCCGGTAACATATGCAAAAGTTTCAGAAGCAATTTCAGTGATAGTAGAATGTCTGCGAAGAAGTAGGGGGTGAGAAGAGAGGGAAGGAGCTACAGAGGCCGTTCATCTCACTGTATTTGTCCTGAACAATGCCAGATGAGCAAAAGCTAAGGGCGAGAGCTGTGTGCACAGGCGGCCCGAGGGAGCTTTGTACTCACATTGGTGTTGCATAGCTTGTACTGTCGATGGGCCCCGATGCAGGAGATGGCAGTAGGCCGCAGGGACTGGGGGAAACTTGGAGACACTTCGTGAGTCCCCATGCCGTGGTGGCCGCTAGAACCCGGGACGTGGAAGACACTGGAAGCTGCCAAGAAGCTCTGGTCATGCGCGGAAGGTGGCTGGAAGATGGAGGCTTTGGAGGCCTGCAGTGCAGACTGAGGACCACCATGACTGTGATCCAGTGGCTGGTGCTGGGGGAGCCAGTGGGCTGCGGGGCTGTGGCCAGGCCTGGGCGCAGGTGTCTCCTGGGCTCCCGAGGGCAGGGCCTCGGGCCTCTGCCTCCGGAGCCTCTGTGGCCTGTGGCCTTGGTCTGTCTGCAGTGGTAAGATGTAAGGTGCCTTGCCATACCCATACGTCCCAGGCCTGATGGGGCCTCGCGCCCTGTTCCTGGAGAAGCAAAACCACAGTCAGTAGGCCCGTACAGGATTCAGGTTCACTCAGGAACTCAGGGGAGGGGTGGCGAGGAGGGAGTTGGGGTGTAGCCCACAGGGAGCCCCAAAAAGTTCTTGGTGAACTATTCTTCCAACCCCATGACGTGTTTTTCCTGAGGCTATTATTCTATTTCTCACAGGCCTGGAGAGTTTTTCCCCAAGACAGGTACCAAGCGGAGCAGAGGGACAGATGTGGTCCTGGGCGGGACCTGAACTGACTTCAAGAAGATCAGAAGGGGTTGGGCAATTGGCTACTCAATTTTTGTGTCTTTGTTTTTTGTTAGTCGTGGGGCTTGAACTCAGAGAGCAGGCACTGTCCCTGAGCTCTTTCAACTCCAGGCTATCCCTTGACCACTTTGAGCCACAGTACCACTTGCAGATTTCTGGTGGTTTATTGGAGATAAGATTCTCATGGACTTTCCTGCCCTGGATGGTTTTGAACCTCGATCTTCAGATCTCAGCCTCCTGAGTAGCTAGGATCATAGGCATGAGCCACCAATGCCTGGCTACTCAGTTTTGTTTTGTTTTGTTTTGACGGTCGTGGGGCCTGAACTCTGGGCCTGGACACTGTCCCTCAGCTCTTCAGCTCGAGGCTAGCGCTCTACCAGTTAAGCCACAGCACCACTTCTGGCTTTTTTCTGCTTATGGGGTGCTGAGGAATCGAACCCAGGGCCTCACGCATGTGAGGCAAGCACTCTACCACTGAGCCACCTTCCCAGTCCCTACCTAGTTATTTTTGAGGTAACCCACTCTATGCCCAGTTTGCAGAGAGCATTTAGATGTTGCCCAGACCTGTCACCTTCTCTGAACACTTAGGAAAATCATACCAACAGTGGTGATGCTCAGAAATGTCCATCAATTGGATCTCCAGAGGCAAACAGCTCTGATGAGAGGTACTGCCCATTGCCAGTCTGTCTGGAATCCCACAGCACCCAAGCAAGGACTGCAATGCAATGAGCAGGCAAAACCCAGCTCCAGGACTAGGGAGGGACTCAGTTAGCACAGCCCATGCTTCGTACCTGTGAGACCGTGGGTTCAATCCCCAGCATTGCAAGACAGAAAAGGTAAATAAATAAAGTAAAATAAAGGCCCAGAACTCCAAGGCATGCCAATTCATTGTGCAACTACTATTTGCAAAAATTCAGAGCTAAGAACAGGGAAGATGTGTAAAAATGAATCAGCTGTGTTTCTTGTGACCCCAGTCTTGACAACTAAATCAGAGCTGATTAAAAATCAAGGTGGAGTAAGAGAACACGATTATAAACAACTACGTGGTAAATGCGGCAAGGCGACAGCCATAGATACAACACAACACTTGATTCTTTGGGAATTCTAAGGCAAAGTGGGGCTCAGGTGTCTGGGGGGCAGGGATCTGAAAACCAAGGTCACTGGTTTGACAGCAACCCCTATAGAAGAACACAGCTGAGTGCGAGTGGCTCACACCTGTAATCCCAGCTACTCAGGAGGCTGAGATCTAAGGATGATGGGTGGATGGCAGCCAGGGCAGAAAAGTCCATGAGATTCTTATCTCCAAGTAATCAGCAAGAAGCCAGACGTGGAAGCTCAAGTGTTGGAGCACCAGCCTCGAGCAAGAAAAGCCAAGTGAGAGTGTAAGGCCTTGAGTTCAAGCCCCAGTTTTTGCATGCAACCAAGCACAGGTGCACACACACACACACACTCACACACACACACACACAAAGGCATAAGTCATCTGACTCTTACTTGTTTGTAAAATGACCAAACTGCACCAAATGATTGCCAGAGTTGCTCCAACTCTAAAATTATATGCTTTACTAATAATTAATTCTATATTTTTGTACAACTGGAAACATGCCCATGGGTTTCTACAGGATGGCCCATTAAAATAAGTGCATTCAAACGCTAGTCAAGGTAGAGCATTGCTCTCTGCCCCCATGGAGAAACGTCTTCATCGTGCCACATAACCCTGAATATAGATTTAACAGAGCACAACTAATTATTAACACCATTATCACCAAATGCACTTCCATGCTCAGCTGATATGGTTATGAATTAAACGAGGCCGCAGTGTTTATTCTTGCTTTGGGGTGCTTCTCAGTTAATCTTAGCAACACTTAGAACTCAGTAAATGGCAGGAGCTTTAACAGACATAATGAAGGACTTTGTTCTAAAGAAAGAATAAAGACTTTGTGCTTGCGCACATACATATATAAATACCTTGGACGTAATAGGTTGTTTGTTTTTTTTAATGCCTTCTTTTTTTTTTTTTTGTTAGTTGTGGGGCTTGAACTCTGGGCCTGGGCGCTGTCCCTCAGCTCTTCAGCTCAAAGCTAGCGCTCTACCACTTGAGCCACAGCACCACTTCCAGTTTTCTGAGTAGTTTATAGGAGATAAGAGTCTCACGGACTTTTCTGCCTGTCCTGGCTTTGAACTGCGATCCTCAGCTCTCAGCCTCCTGAGTAGCTAGGATTATAGACGTTTGCCATTGGCACCTGGCTTAGGCTTTTTTTTTTCTTGTGGCAAGCCAGGTAAAATGGATGACATCACACAAAATCAGCCATTTCTGCACTGGTGGTTAAGATGAAAAGCTTCCCCAAATTCTAGTCTCAAAGAAGGAACTTGGTAGAGACTTTGGCTGAAGGTAGTAAGAGATGGAGGCCCACTCTTTGGGGAGTTGTAAGCTTTGTGTCTGTCATGTCACAGATACTTCAAACATACTTTAACCCAGGCCAATCGTGTTTTTTGGAGATCTGGTTCCAATGAAGTTCACTGCGGCCTGGCAGAGCAACCTATTTCTCAAACATCAAAACTCCAAGTCTTCAAACCTCAAACCTGAAAACAGCCTGCCAGCCCAGGGGCCAGGCTGACGCTTCGCCAGGGGCTGATTAAATACACTGTACTTATGAATACATTGAATAATAAATACACTGGATGAAAACATTAGATCTAGCCTAATGACTGGGGGAAGGGGGGGGGGGGCATGGGCCTCCAGGGCTGATACTAAGCTTTCATCATCTGAAGCCAGTAGATTAGAAGATCATAAGAGGATCTGTGCAGGAACAATAATGGGAAACAGAAGCTACCTTGTCAGGAAGAAGTAACCAGGCCTGGGCCAGCAGCACAGACCTGAGGTCCACTAGGGTCTCATCCCAAGCCCCTTACCTCCACAGCCAAGCAGGGCAGGAAACCGAGTAGGCAGGGACCAGGAGCCAGCCACGCCCCCTTTGGATGCCACCCCTCCCATGTTACCCTTAGAACCATGACTGCCTAGGCTGGAAGCCTCCTGACTAGCTAGGATTACACACGTGAGCCACAGGTGGGTGCCTGGATTTCCTCTTCTTGATGGCTGAATAATAGTCTGGTGCATGTATCTATACCAAGTTTTCTTGGTGAAGTGATCACTGGTTGCTGGGCATCCAGGCTGGATTCCATAGATTGGTTTTGTGGACAGCACTGGGTGTTCAATGCCAGCTTGTTGCTCTGCTTTTGTCACCCAAGCCTCACACTGGATTTGAGGCTTAGGGGAGCTGGGAGCTTCCCTGAAGGAGAGAGGCAAATGGGGAAAGACAGAGCAGCCTCCTGAGGAGGCTGAGAAACCGAGGTCGCCAGCTCCTGACCACCCAGGAATCCTGGACCATGTTCTCCCCAGGAAATGTGGGGGAGGAGGCAGTAACCCAACTGGACTCCACAAAACAATTCTAACAGAGGAACTCCACGGGCCTGGGCTGGGCTACCGATTTCCAGGCTCGCTCTCTTATACTGAGAAGTCTGTTTGGTTTGGTTTGGTTGAGTATGGGTTTTGGTCAGAGTGTCCATAAGTAGCCCAGGCCAGCCTCACATTCACCATCCTTATCTCCCTTCAGAATGCTGGGATTACAGGCGAGCACCACCACACCGGAATGTAAATACCTTCTGATTCATCGGTGCCTTTGTGGGAAGCACTGCCATGTTTGGCATTATTTAGAGCCCTACAACTATGTTTGCTGCCACTGAGATGTTTCTGGGGTTTACATTTATTATTCTTTAAAAAGAAGGGGGGGGTAGTTAACTTAGTACCCTCAAAGCTGAGCGTTCAGTTACCAAATACTGCAGAAACTTCCAGGAAGGTTCGCAGAACCCTAAAACCCACGAGTTGGAGTTGTCTAAGGCCCTAAGCATTTACTTTCTGCCAGAGAGAGAAAGGGGGGGGGAGGAAGGAAGGAAGGGAGGAAGGAAGGGAGGGAGGGAGGGAGGGAGGGAGGAAGGAAGGAAGGAAGGAAGGAAGGAAGGAAGGAAGGAAGGAAGGAAGGAAGGAAGGGGAGTGGGCAATTCTGCCCAGCCTTGGGCTGCTCGGGTGCTGGTCCTGCGTCCTGGGTTCAAACCCACCCAGGGGGTGCGGGTGGATGGGTGGACGGTGGTGGGGACCCGCGGGGCGGGCACGGCCCCTACCTTCTCTCCGCGGGCCCGGGGCGGGCGCGGTGCGCGCGGGGCGCGGCGGGGCTGCGGAGCAGCGGCACCGAGGCGCGCACGGCCGACACCACGCGGCCGGCGAAGGCGCGGGGCGCGGGCTGCGGCGGCTGCGCGCGGGCCCGGGGCAGGCAGGGCCGGGTCTGCGCCATGGCGCCGCCGCCGCAGCTGCGGGAGCAGGCGGACCAGGGGCCCCAGGACCCCCAGGCGCCCGCCAGGCCGTCATCGTCCTCGGGGGGCCGCTGTGGGACCTACGGGAGACAAGAGGTGCGTTAGGGGCGGGCAGGGCCCAGAACCTTCCATCCGCTCCTCCTCCCGGTCACCCGCAGCACCGGGGGGGGGGGGGGGGGGGGGGAGGGGGGAGGGTACAACGACGATGTCCCGGGTCCCTGCATCCCCACCCCAGCCTGCGATTGGACCCCAGGCCCTGCACCCCCACCCTGGCCTGCGATCAGATCCCAGGCCCTGCGCCCCCAACCCGGCCTGCAATCGGACACACCCCCCCAGGCCCTGCACCTCCACCCCGGCCTATGATCGGAACTCCCCCTCCCCCGGGCCCTGCACCCCCTACCCCAGCCTGCGATCGGACCCCAGGCCCTGTGCCCCTACCCCGGCCTGCGATCAGATCCCAGGCCCTGCGCCCCCACCCCAGCCTGCGATCAGATCCCAGCCCTGCGCCCCCACCCCAGCCTGCGATCGGACCTCAGGCCCTGCGCCCCCATCCCGGCCTGCGATCAGACCCCCCATCCTCAGGCCCTGCGCCCCCACCCCAGTCTGCAATCAGACCTCAGGCCCTGCTCCCCCACCCCCAGGCCCTGTGCCCCCACCCCCAGGCCCTGCGCCCCGATCCCAGCCTGCAATCGGACCCCAGGCCCTGCGCCCCCACCCCCAGGCCCTGCGCCCCCACCCGGCCTATGATCGGAACCCCCCTCCCCCCAGACCCTGCACCCCCTACCCCAGCCAGCGATCAGACCCCAGGCCCTGCTTCCCCACCCCATCCTGATCTGAACCTTCCCCCACTGCACAATGGGGCCCTGGCAGCCTAGTGCTTTTTGATCTGGGCAGACCTCAGACTCCCATCTCCCTGTACCTCCAAGTAGCTGAGGTGAGCTATCATGCATGCCCTGCTTATTTTGGAGATGAGATCTTGCTATCATTTTTCCTTTGGCTGGCCTCAAACCTCAATCCTCCTGTCTCTGCCTCTTGGGTAGGCTGTCTGGGCTTAGCTTAGAGCCCCTCTGATTCAGTGACAGTGAGCAGAAGGTAGATTCATAAAGGTGTTTGGAGAAAAGTATTTTTTTTCAAGTGCCTAATTAGGCTGTCTTTCCTCTACAAAGCCACACTGAAGTGTGTTTGGTGGCTCCTTCCATGTCTGGATGATCCCTCAGCCTCATCCGGGGCAAAGGTCACAGAAGGGGAACCGCAGACACCAGAGAGAAGGCAGTGATAGGGCCACAAGCCAAGGACCCTGGGTGCCACTCCTTGCCCCAGGAGGCAAGGAAGGATTTCCCCCAGGAATTTCAGGAAGAATTCAAGTCAGGTTCAGGAAGAATTCAAGTCAGGCCTTATCTGCATTTTGGAACAACTGGCCTGCAGAATTGTGCGGGCCAGTTATTTTGTTGTGGTTTTTACACCACTGGTTCTGTGGTTATTTGTCCAAATGGTAAGGACATGGTGGACCCCTGGGTAAAGCAAGGAGGACACTGGTGTTGGCCAAGCATTGGTGGTGGTACTAGGGTCACCCCTGGGTAGAGATGGCCCAGCGGCCAGGTCACACTTGCCAGCCTGCTACCCTGAGATGTTGGCTTTATCCTACAGGAAAACGCTGAAGCCCAGAGAAATGGTGTCAGGTGTCAGGGTCTCAGGCTGCTAGCATTTCAACTATGTTTTGAGCTATAAAATCCCTAAATCCAGGATCAACCGGCTCTTTGTTAGTCAGGGACAAACCAAAGAAGAAATCATGGTGAGACAAAACAAAAACAAATACAAAAAACAAAAAAAACCCCAAAGGAGCTAAGTGATAGCGGTTCACACCTGTAATCCCAGCTACTCAGGAGGCTGAGATCTGAGGATCATGGTTCAAAGCCAGCCTGGGCAGGAAAGCTCATAAGACTATCTCCGATGAGCCACTTTAGGAGAGAGGCAAATAGGGTGCCAATAGGAAGATGGTTGAGTAACGTAGGGTTTAATGAGTCAACAAAATAACAAAATCACAAGCAATACCATGCAGAAATAGGGTTGTAATACAATATTAACTGCCAATGCCAAACACCAAGTTGAAACTACATTATGACTGCTAGTAGAAAGATTCTGAAGGACTGAAAGGACTCTGGACACGGACATGGAAAAATGAAGAATAATCGGATCTGTTACTGAAGCTGAGCCCAGAAGTTTTCTTGTAACTGAAAAAAATGCCAGTCATGGTTATAATACTGTTTGCTCCATAAACACAAATAAACAGATTAAAGGGAGAAAGATTCCAAACAGATTGTGGGAGGTGGGGAAGCAGGGAACAAATCCAGCGCTGACAGTAACACTACTCATAGAAAGTTCTAGAAGTTCTTGTCACCACCAGCAAGCCCCATAACTAGCGCAGCGCCAAATGTTTCCGATGTATTGGGTTTCGGCACTAATGTGAAATCATGTACGATTTCACTGGTTCCTAATTCTTCTTTCTACGAAATGAAACCTGCCATCTGTTCTTCATAGAAAAGAAAAGAAAATGAGCCGCAGGCAAACACAACACAAAACGAAAAGTCTGACATTCTGAAGTCTCATTCTAGAAGAGACTGGAAAATAAAATAGACGTTTGGTGACAACCACGGACCCAAGTCAACACACCGGAAACAAATGTTATAGAAATACAACTTGGGAGTTTGAACCCAGGGAACTATGTCTTGGGAAGCCCAGAGCCATGGCAAGAGGGACTACAGGCATGCGCTACACAGCTTAGGCATGGGTAAGAGCCAGGAGGAAGACGGTCTCTATAGACACTCTACTGCCAGGCCACACGTCCATCAAAGCCACTGCCAGGGTCTCTCCACCTCTGTGTTCCCTCTTGGTCCTGTCTTGACTCAACACACTACCAAAGGCCCCAGATCGAACCTCTCTGCATTGATCTCGATGCCCGTGGTTGCCAAATGAATGCAAAGAGCCTCTAATCTGAGAATCCCTCAGGATCCCTGGGGGCTCCAGATGCATTCTGGGAAAGAGGCATAGAACTGCTGGTCCATAAATCCCAAGCACAGGAAGAGCAAGGAGTGGAGGCCGAGGAGAGAAGAAGAAATGTGAAATGCCAAGGTGAGCTAAAGCCTGAGCTGTAGCCGAAGACATCACGGACAAGCAGAGCCCACATCCCCGCGAAGCAGGTGTTTGGGTGCACTGGCAGTTAGAGCCTCCATGCCAGGCTGTGCCCGCTCAGGTGGGAAATGCTATAGTCAAGGGCCTTGTACTACATACATCTCAGTGAGTTCACATTCTTCATCCTGCACCGGAGACTCCCATGGACACCCGCATCCTCCCATTTCTAGTCCCATGTTGTGTGGCTCAAGGTATGATCTATTGGGTGACTTTTCAAAAGCAACTGAGGAATGATGTTTCCTGGCTCCTACACGAAGCTTGGTGGTGATGAACCAACCAACAGGGTCAGGCCAGGAAAACACAGCTTCCATTTGCCTGGATGCTCACAGGTGAGGCTGGAAAAATGAAGGTGCTAAACCCTGAGTTCCCTCACCAGGTCCCCCCCCTACTCCCCTGCTCAAGGCTGCCACTTCCCTCAGCCCCAGTGATCCAGCCACAGTGTTTCATTACCTTTCCATTCCCTGCCTGTGGACACAGCCCTTCCATGTGCCATCCAGGTGGAGACAGCCTGTCTTCCAGACCAGACTGTGCCCTCCATGTTACCTGTCTGGCATTGTGCCTGCCTGTCTGTGCTGAGCAGGCTGCATGCATGGGAGATGGGCTTTTGATAGATGAGACACAGCAGCAAGCAGGAGGTGTAGAAAATAGGAGAGACAAGTGCCAGTTACCAGTAGCTCACGCCTGTCATCCCAGCTACTCAGAAGGTTGAGATCTGAGGATCATGGTTCAAAGCCAGCTGGGGCCGGAAAGTCTGTGAGACTTTTTATCTCCAATAAACTACTTGAAACACTGAACGTGGAGCTGGGGCTCAAGTGGTAGAGTGCTAGCCTTGAGGAAAAATAAATAAAACGAGACAGGGGAAGGATGGATGTGTGGGGAATTCTGGGCTGGATGCTGCCTTCTGGTCCCAAGGCTGCTCTTACTCATCTCGTGACTTGCAGCCAGTCAGCCTGCGGCTCTCGACCTCTGATTCTACCTCAGTAAATGAGCTAGTTGGACTCGACATGGACCTGAGGTCCCTTCCAGGGCTAACAGGCTAACGAGTTTTTCCTGGAAGATGGCTCACATCTCCCCCCCCCCACACACCTCCCCTCCACAAACACAGTTATTGATTTACTTCAAGTATCATGAGAGCAGGAGAGGAAATCCCAGGTTCAGAGCTGAAATCCTTGCTGGATGCAATGCAAAGGAGACACAGATGCAGTTCTACAAGATTCAAAGGCAGGGGGCTGGGAAGGTGGCTCAGTGGTAGAGCGCTTGCCTTGCACGCATGAGGCCCTGGGTTCGATTCCCCAGCACCACATAAGCAAAAAGAAAAAAGCCGGAAGTGGCGCTGTGGCTCAAGGGGTAGAGCGCTAGCCCTGAGCTGAAGAGCTGAGGGACAGTGCCCAGGCCCAGAGTTCAGGCCTCATGACCGGACCCCCCCCCCAAAAAAAAAAAAAAAGATTCAAAGGCAGGACCCAGCCAAAGCAGAACAACAATAATGATGTAAAGTATCTGAATAAGACCTGCACAATGAGAAGCACTCCCCCTTTCTGAAGCTGACCTGGCCCTTTTATTGCCAGCCATGGTGGGGGATCACCACCCACCCTTCTGGAAGGTGATGCAGCCATGCGCCTGGCCTGGGTACCGGCCCAGCCTGTATTTGCCGCAGTTACTCGGGAAACAGAAGCCGGTGTCTGTGTGGGCTGTCTGGCCACGTGCTTTCGCAGGAAGGCCAAGTCCGTTTGGCTTCAGGTTCTCAATGGCAATGGCCCAGTGGCCATGCAAGCCAATAGGACCAGCCAGTCACAAGAACTCAGAGGCTGATTCAGGAGCAGCAATCTTCCAGTGCAAGTTCTGCCTTGAGATTTGGCCATCTGCAACAAGGTCGATAATTTGGCATTCTCCA